AGGGGAAAGACTCTGTGTTGTATGTTAGTCATATGTGAAATGCCGTTCCATTCCTGTGCCTGTATCTTTATGACTTTATATCCTTAAGGACCTGTTGTGGAAAAATAAACTGTTTTCATCCCAGGAAAACCCCTTTGACCTCAATGAAAAGAATGATTTTACTCCTCAAAAGGTGATACTTGTGAAGTTTCTGATTTTTGGTGCAACACAGATAGAAACTCACACCTTCACCCAATTTTTGAGGCTGAAAAGTATGCCGAAGCAAAAAAGAAAAAAGTCAAATCATTAATATAAAACTGTATGTTTGATCAAAACAACAAATGTTTTATAATATTTAAGAATTAAATGCAAGCATATGCTSAAATATGTACTATTTTCTATTTTTTCTTGCAATAAATGCTAACATTAAAGCGTTTATTTAACCTCATCATTACTTAATTTACCCTTCATTTTTTTTTCCTATATTGTATTTTAAATTGCATGTAAAACAAAGTTACCATAAAAGTTGTAACTTTTTCTTTCTAAGAATGAGAAAATAAATTTAAACTCAAAAATGCATTTTACCTGTAGTGAGGCTGGCAAATATATACAGTATAAGAAAATGATAAATAAAAAAACATGATGTGATGAAGTTACCTGGAAAATAAAAATGTATGCTTTAGCTGTCGTCACAACAGTTGGCAATGAGGTGCTTTCCCAATTATTTTCCCCATTTAAGTGCTTTGACAGTGTGAAAGAGAGGCGTTATTTATTTCATTTGCAGTTTTGTTCCCAGCACGGCTGCTCCATCTGCTCACCTAGAACCTGCAGCAACACTGCAGCTCAGGCTGTGCTGTGGATCTCCTTGGTTGCACACATGATAAACAAAGCCATCTATTGTCAGTCATGAAGTTCAATAATAAACAGTCCCCCCATTAAAAAATGTCTAAAACAACTGGGAAGAACTTGGCCAAAATAAATTAGAAKCTGCCCTTGAAACCTTTGGAGTACATGCAAAAGCTAGCAAAGCTCTCTCTTTGTAAAGGTAACACACAGTCAACATCATTGTAACAATAACTAATGTGTAGTCAGGAGACCATGGATAGACCTAGTTGGTCAAAGAGGTGTCAATCAAAAGGGGAGGGCCTACACAGCCATTCTGACATTGTGATGTTTACATTTGAAACCACTAACGGGATCTCAGACTCTGATATCAAATCTCAATCAATAAGGCCCACCTCTGCCTGTTAAGATGTTAATTTAAACAAAGATAAGAAATTTTTTGTCTTATCTTTGTTTAAGTTGAATAAATTGACTAAAATTTGCTCAGGAATGAGCACTTAATGTGCTACATTGTAATTTTATGCCTCTTTCCTAAATTGAGAAATCAATAACAAACCTTCTGGTCCTAATTKCTTTAAAAACAGATGATTGCTCCTTAAATCACCACAGCAAGAAAACTGCCATAAAAAATGAAAGTCACTGCTAAGTGGCTGGGATATCATTTAACTAAATTCTCTCCATTTTCCAAACCTCTTTGTTACTTTGGTWTGCATGTGCTTTTCAGTCCAAATCAAACGACTGCGTTGTGTAAAAGTTCTGAAGAGGGCTCATGGAAAACCATGGGGATGGTTCAACTAAGGGTCAGAGAAATTACACTAATTAAGTGATGTCCTGTTTCGCTCATGTGGATTCATTAACTTTGTCTCTTACCACTGCAAAACTGTGCACAACARCTATGTAAAGAACCGATGTTTGATTCAGAAACTGTGGGCTAAAAGGGAAAGAAAAGCAGTCTGTACCACCCATCAGAAAACCATAAAAAAGAGGAACATGTACATTGCATTCCATTAATATAGAATGCAATGTTCAGGTCTATTATTCACCAGTGTTTCAAAGGAACGGAGCAGTTGCATACATTTGTTGTCATACTGTTGTCATACAAAGTTAAACTAAGGTTGTTCAAAGATCCATCTGCATCAGGTAAGATATTAATTGTTCATGACCTTCCCAGAGAACCTCGCTTCAAAAGATCTGAATTGGAAACTAATATTAGCTGCAGATGTTGTACAGCAGATATTTATTATAGATTGGCAGACTGACATATTAACCATAAAAACAAGAAAACCATAAAAGAGAAAGGAAATAAATGCAACACATCTGGGCTTACAGTCAACAAACCTGTTTTTGTTCAGTAAGTCACAAATCTCTTTTTTTATCATTATTACTGGAATACAGTTTTAGTTTTGCTGACTCTATTTTACACATTTGTTCTCAACATGAAATATCACTGTTTGGTTTTCCAAAAGCGCTTCAAATTCCTTGACATACAACAAGTACCATCTGATACACAGATACCATATAGAGAGATAAATTCCACCTTTTCCTTTTTATTTGAACAGTCAGACAGTTTATTAACATTTTTTCCAGCAATTTCTTTGAAAAATGGTATTTTAGTGCACCGGTGTCTGCCAAAACAGACAGATTTTGAATAGTTTCCTCCTTACTGTCTCCTTGCTTTTGTGAAATGACAGTCTCTGGAGTGATGAGATGAGCCTTCCAAAAATACAGCAGCGTTATAAAGAAATGAGCAGCACACACAGCTGAAAATAACCGGCATGCAAGTTCACATTAAAGTACACACCTTGGAGTAAGATGAAAAGGATTCAGGGGCTATAAAATACAGCTGCCTTTAAAGCTTTTTGTTCATCCTTTTCATCAGCCAGTGAGACGGTATTATTTGATGGGGCAACTCCATGGCTGGGTGGATCTTCCACATGTTTAGGAACTATTCCACATAAGTGACGTGTCTCTTTGCAAACTGTGAAACTGGGGGTGGGGGGGGTGGATTCTTCCACATTGACGTGTTAATGAAGGGTCAATAGAGCTGGTTCAATGGTGCGCAGTTAACACAAATGTGAGAAAAGATGCTACAAACCACTTACTCTGACTTGTTTCTTTTTAGTGTCACGTTCTTAAATAAACAAATATTCATTAAAAGAATGCATATCACCCACAGACTTGCATGCTAACGTTTTAAAACTGTACAAGCAATCTGTTAGTTGCACTGTGGTGTGGAGATGATCCTCCAGAGGAAATTTTAGCTCGTTAGCGCAGCTGTCTGATTTGTAGTCAGTTTTTGCGTTTGCTATTTGTTCACTCAGCTGTGGTTTTAACAGTTGTAGAGATACCTCCAGTGATTACTTTTTAAGTTTCGTTAAACTTCATCCTCTGGTTTATGAGATTGTTTTGCTAACAGACAGATGAGGGTGACTGATAGTTAAAGCTAAAGTTTTAAACAAAGAACTTGTGAAATCTGTCAGAGCTCAGCTTTTAGGATGATTTCCTGCCACAACCACACCAAGTGACTTTAACATCTACAAACTCACTGAGTTACAGCGAGGTTAGAGGTAAACTTTATGTAACTGTAGTGGCCAATTTTGAATCAAATTGATGTCAGAAGTTAATTAGTTGTAGAGGTGCATCCAATAACTTTCTGAGAGTTTAAAGGTGATATATCATGCAAAATCTACCTTTTTAACCTTTAAATACATTTTGGTGTGTACTTGGAGTCTCTGGGAGTGCAGAAAAGTTTGGTTTTTCTCCTGGTGCTGCGTAGATATCTTTATATTCTGTTTGGGTCATATTTTTCAACTCATTGAGTTTTCTCTATTTTCTATAATCTTTTCTAAACTACAACATCAAATTACTTGTAGCAGAATTTCTAAATAAGGTCTGAACTTGCAAACTACAATTATATTGTCTTCATTCTTATCTGGCTCCAACATGTAAGGCTGGATGGACAACTCTTCTGTTGTTGGCATCTTTTAATTAATTTGTAAATAAAAAGTTTCTGTGCTGCTATATAGTCGTAAATCCCTCTATCAAACTGAAGTGGACCAGTCTGGAAGATGGAGGAGGGCGGGGTGTGAAGCACCTTGTTTGGATTTAAAGAAACAGCCTCAAAACGAGTTGATCTGAGACGCACCTCGGGAAAGGGGTGAAAGARGGGCTTGTGGAGTTAAAATAAGGAGAAATTAAGACGAAAGAAACAGTTCCACTTTATATAGACTCCAACTGAAAGATTAGTGTGTGGAAAAGCAAGGGTTAAAAACATGTCTCCTTTAATCATCAATCCAGTAGTTTGTGAGATATTTTGCTAACAGACAGATAAACACAAGTACATGATCAACCTCCTAGTGGTGAGGAAAAACACTTATAAGAGCATAAAAATACAAACTTTTGTTTTATTTTCATCAAAGCCTTCAAAATATGTGATGCCATAAACTTTTTCCAACAATGCATCAAACAAGTCAAGTGTTTAAAAGCTCAAACTGTAAGGAAGAACACTTATGCAACACATTRCATTCATTTTATTTTGTCAGTAGGTTTCATATCTTACTTTATGTGATTGGAAAAAAAAAAGCAATTACTTAAAATTAATATCAATATTTTCATCCTACACTCTCAGTCACGGATTCTCACTTATTTTGGAAACTGATCTTATAATTTTCATAAAAAAATCATGAAATGCACAGGAGGCAGTATGGCATGAATCCAAAAACACCCAACCAGAGGAGCAATGAAAATGTTAGCGGGAGGTCTGGGTGTGGATATTGACTGAAGCTCTTGTTGGGATATTTAATGACTAACCGCAGAGTAGAATAGAGGAGGTCCATTATGTCCGGCCTGGCAGCATTTTGGCTGTCCTCAGCTCCGCACATGGCGTTGCACACCAGGGTGTTGCTTTGATGTACAGCTGCTCATGGAAAGGAGATTTTTTTGGAGCATAAAACTTGTATGAATTAGGGAACTAACAAACAAAAGAGCAACGGAAAGGACAATGGAATCTGAAGTTGTAAATCTGAAAAGTTCTTGAAAAGTAAAAGAATCCTGAAATGATAAAATGAGCCCGTCCCCTCAACGTGCGGAGAAGCCGGGCTAGAGTTGGGGTGGGATATGCAAATAGAGGCTCTCTGCCTGCCCCTTCAGAGGCAGCAGAGCAGCACGCTGCTTCTTGCACACACACACACACACACACACACACACACACACACACACACACACACACACACACACACACAAACAACACACACCCTAACTCATACAGAGCGCACATTACTTGGAGGGTTGAGCGTCGTCTGCAGGTCGTGTGTGTGTGTGTGTGTGTGTGTTCATGAAGCTTAAAACTTTCGAGGCACTCACACTCTCTACCCTCATTCTCTTCTTTCTGCTGCTCTCCTCTTTCTCCTCTCCCCTCCTCCACAACACCTTTGGGTTGTTTTCTTTCCCTTCATTCTTCCCCCTTCCGTCTCCCTGCTCACAGTCTTTCTTGCTTTTCTGTCTTGTAAGCTCAATTTTTTTTACATTTTTTTTATTTTTGTGTGTCTGTGTCAGTGTGAAAACTGAATGGGGGACAGGTCAAGATGCTGCTGATGATGCTATAGCCGTCTGGGCTTCCATGTCTTTAGTTGTATTTGGGGACATCCTCAAACCCTGAGGAACCCTACATTTTTGACATCATCACGGGGTTCTTGCACGTCTGAGACTCTGGAACTAATCAAGACTTTTCAAGACTGACATTAAAAACAGCAACAATGTGGACCAGGCTGTGCCAACTCACTGCACAAATCTTTCTCCTGGGACTGTTGCTCTCTGCGGTGGACAGTAAAGGAACCCTGTATGGAGGCCACATCAACCCTTTCTATGGAAACAGATACCACCTCTACAAAGCCGGACTCAGCCCTCACTACCCACCAAACAAGCCCATGACTCGTCACAAGTAAGTSCTGTCTTTTTGGTCGTGGCAAAAATTCCTACTGCACCATTTAGWTCCCGTTCCCAAGCTGAGTGACAGGGTTAACWGCTCTACCCACCTCATGCTACATGCATTCTTTAGAAACCCAGCACCTTTCTGAAATATGCTTTCGGTTATTGAATAAATATGGCAACAGATCCATAAATTGATGCTGTGTTTCTGTTTCACGCAAAATCAGCCCTCTCCTGCAGCTCACATTAAGGAAAAGGATAAATAAAAACCATCTGTGGCTGAGGATAAACATTACAGGGTAACAATCACACGCTGCGATTCCAAACCCAAGCCACTGTTATGGTTTTTATGGTGCAGYGGAGCGAGCTGCATGTGCTGGGATCCCTCGGAGCTACGGGGAACTGTAAGCGGTGGGAGGAGGGCTGAAGTTAAAGACACAAAGAAGCAAGAGGTGATGCTCTGCAAACCTTGTGTGGATGATGATAAAAGACGTGGATGTTTGTTTGCTTGGTTGGAGGTAAATGTTTGACCTTTGGAGCTCTCTTAGTTTTTTTTTTCTTCCACTTTCCTCCTCCTCCTCTCTTTTGCTTGGCTTCCCATGAGAGCTGCTATGTTTTTGGACAGCTCCCCTGCTACCTGCTGCTCCCCTCAAGCTGCTGCAGGAGGCTGCTGATTGCCCAGTCCTAAATAATCTGCCACATACACTCATCTTCACTAAACAGACTGTTCAGCATCCCTCACTCTCAATGCAAAAAATCACTTTCACTTTCTCTTTTTTTTTTGAGATTGGAGTAGTTTTAACATAGCAACAGCTGACTCGTTCAGGATTTTTTTTTCTTTCTCCAACCTGAGKCTGTTCTAAGAGTTATCTATGAGCTCTTTCACAAATAAGTTTACAATGTGGCCACAAAAAGTAAATCCCTCTTTAGGCTGCCTTTTGAACGCTCATAAATCATCAGCTGAGCCACTCATGACCTGCAAAGATGTGCACATTCATTACTGAAGCGGGCCAGAAAGACCTGGAGTCTGACCCTGTGGTGTTGACGTGGAACGCCACACATAAGCTCCRTGTCGGACCTTTCTAAATCCTGCTGTCAGCTGAGCACACAGGCCGTCTGTTATCACCGGATCACACTGTGGAGCCATGGATCCAGCTTCTTCTTCCATGTCATAGGGCTATTACTGCTTTTGTTTTTTTGGCAATTGAATGTACTTCATTGGCAGGCTGATTTTAATTCCCCGTGCTGCTTTTGTCAAGTTCACACCAAAGCAGTCAAAAGGTGTCTCAGTCTCGGTAGTTTTTTTTTTCTTTTGCAAAAGAAGCTTTTAACAGGTGAAATAATKCATTACTTTTACACAAAACTCAACTTGAAAAGATTTGAACAGTTGCTTTATTTACCAATCACATAGGCACCACTGGTGCTTCAAGGAAAGTCTTAACAGAAAATACTCGCTGGAACAATGAATTAATATAAACTGCATTAACAACAATTTACAGAAGCTTTTGAGCAGGCTTACATCAACATGTAATACATGCAGAAAAGGATCATTATGCAAATGTTCAGCTTATGTTTGGTGGCCGACGTTTAGCTTCTCAGAAATCAGTGTAAGCTGTGATAAAGCCGTGTGGTTCACAAAGTGTTTGATAACTCTGCTACACTGTGAGGGACAACAGTTCGCAGGTCAGAATTGAAAACACTGAACTTGTGAAATATTTCAGGGATTCAAAACTGTAATGTAATTATCAAAGTTTTATTTATGCTATGTGGGTGCTAAAAACTACTGGATGGATGGATGGATGGATGGATGGATGGATGGATGGATGGATGGATGGATGGATGGATGGATGGATGGATGGATGGATGGATGGATCATGCAGTCAAACTGTTAAATGGACTGAATGAATTATCAGGACAAAGTACCTTATGATGTCAACATCAATATAATGAAGAGTACCTAATTTATAATATATGGGATTATTATAAAATAAACTGCAAATATTTAATTAAATGGTTTACTCTTGATGCATTTATTTAATTCTAGTGTTAACAGTGTTTGATCAGTGTTGCAGCACCAGATTACTCCATTTTAACTGACAGGACGTTCTTAAGTGGATCCTCATCACTTCCCAGCATGGTGATGTCAAAGGACTGTGGGTTTCATTCGTTTTAAATGCAGTCTTAGAAACAAATTTATGYGTTTCTTTTGTAACAGTTTCCATGCTTGAATCCCATGACTGTAGATCACCCAGATGCTTCATTTAGTCCTGTTCAAAGTGAACTGAGTGATCCCAGACTGTCAGTAATTCATTGTTGCTTGTGGCTGATATTATTGCTCAACATGTGTCTTTGAGTTCCACTCCAGTGTTTGAACGAGAGCTGGTGACCTTTGTCGGACACAACAGGCCTCGGGGGGGGTGTTTAGGTGTCGGTCGGACCACCTCGACAGTTATATGAGCTGAGTTGCTKTCAGTCTGACTGGTCAGAGAAAATAGACAGTTAAAAATAACATACTGTGTGTCTGTGTCTGTGTTTTATTTCTTTATTTTTTAAGGATTTTGTTCAGTTCAAAATGTTGTTTCTCACCAAATATTGTGTCAAATTTTTTTCAGAACACTTGCTATGGGGAAGAATTTCAAAATTCTCTGTGCCTGCTGTACCACAGACATTTTGACGTCATGTTGAGTTATTATCTATGTTTTGGCAGCAAAGCGAGTGATTTAATTTCACAGTCAGTTCTTTCATTCAATGCAAGCACTGTAATCACTGACAGTGGCATCTTAGACAATAATGGCACTGTACCTGTCACAGCTTTATCACAAATGGTTTTACATTTGCTTCCGGTCAAATTGTTTATTGTTTTATTAGTTTCATCAAAACGTATCTGAGTTGATTTAATTTAGGAGTTTAAATAACATCGCACAAGCACTTTTTATGTTGCACCACAGTGAAACAGATTGCTGGATCCAGGAACCATCATTGGGAAACTTTGTTTTTAAGTCAACGTGAAGCCCAGCATGAGTCTCATGTCACCACTGATGAGCTTTGTTGTATCTTGTTGCTCTCCTGTGATGTATGGGGTGAAGAGCAAGGGGTAAAGGTCAACTGGTTGATAGGGGTCAAAGGTTATGGGTTGTTCTTGTAAGCTTAGGTTGATTGTCCAGTGGAGAACAGAAACAGAGACCGTCTACTGCGAAGGCCTGTGTCACACCAAAAGATAATCATGCCGATTTTTGCCCTTYCGACAATCTTAAAGGGGCAATATCATGTAAAATCAACTATCGTGGTAATATTTATTAAAAGACAGAAACACATAGAATAAGACAAATGTCTGCGTGAATGGCCGTCACAATGATTTAATAAGAATAGCAGAGAGCAACAACAAGGCAGACTTGATCAGGAAAATCTGTCAAGCTGTGGCTGAGTTTTATACCATGTTATAATGTTATACTCTCATAAAAACATGCCCAAAAGCCTTGCTTTGACTTGAGAAATCCTGCAGCATGCTGAGGAGCAAATCGACAGGTGGGGACCAGAAACGCCTTTTGGGACCAGAAACGCCCCTGGGACGTGTCTTTAAGCCAAGCTTCCTCACGGCGGAGGTCACCCACCTCTCCACACACCCCGCCCATGACTCCTGCAGGCTCTCGGGTGAAAGTGAAAGTGAAACTTAAACTGTCTGCGGAGCTCCTAACATTAGTTGGCACTCAGTGAAGCTCTTTTCGCATTAAAAATACCTTTGAGGAAATGTATTTTCAGATGCCAAGTAAATTGCATCATGCCCCCCCTCCACCGCACCGAAATGGGAGAGACAGAAGCGGAAGGTGACTCTTAAAGAGACAGAGACCAATTTCAAGGTGTTTAGAAGAGGAAGTGATGAGAAGATAAGTTTATTTTCTATTTAAACATAAAAACAGCATTTTAATAACAACTAAAGGTGACATAGATACTTTATTATGGTATAGTATTTAAATATATGCCTGAGAAACACATAATATTGCCCCTTTAAGGAAGTCCAGATTATCATGGCTSTAAAGATAATCATAGCAGATATTCCTGTCGTGGATGGTGAGTTAAGAGTGATCTAGTCGGCTCAGAAGGATGTCGGGACCGCTCCAACCTCAAATTGGGGATATCACATTTGTGTGCAGTGTTCACCCGAGCTCTCAGCCTGTTGAACGAGAAGTGTAGCCAATCAGAAAGAGAGGTAACATAAATATGGAGGGGATTCCAAAATACAGAAGACAAAAAAACTGTCATGACTCACCAGAAAGTCTGCTGGATGTTAAAAGTCCTATGAAATTATTTTTTTCCTCTGGTAAAAATAGTCCACAAACGATCAACATTGTTTCTTCCTCGTCGCAAATGTTTATTTACTCTGAACTCACGTCTCTCTGGAGGTCACGTAAGATTTTTCCTTGGACATCTGAATTCTCGTGAGGTTTCAGGAAGTCTCGCGTGATTTAATATCTGACATCTGAATGTTCATGAATGAAATATCTTTTCGTGTGTGGTGTGTTGTCTCTTGGGTGTGGCTGTACACCACACACTGTAGGACCAAACCTGGTAGATCCATGATTTTTTTATCCTCATGTGTGGGCTCAATTAATCTTTGAAAATAGGCCGACTGTTTTAAAATCTTGTAGTGTGACTCAGCCTTAAGAGATACAGACTAAGCTGTAGACTCATAAGCTGCTTTACCTGAGTTATTATCAGACTTGTAGCTTCATCTGATATAACTGAAAGTGTCAGGACAATTTTTACTTTTCTTCTTGATGCCACGATAAATGTTCAGTTTATTGACTCCAAACAATGTGGTCAAATTGGTGATTTTTTTTATTAAATAAATAATTCCTCTTCCAGTCTTTTTTAAAATCTTTTTTTTTATTTTTGTTAATTTTTGGAAACCGCTGAKTCACTTTCTTGCTTCAGTTGCTGTCATTGTAAAGTATCAGTCTGCTCATTCAACCCCAATTCCAAAGAATTTGGGACATTGTGTAAAGCATAAACAAA